ACAGTGCAGACACTGCCCTGGAGGAAAATCTAGGTAAAACCACATACAACTACAGCATCCAGTAATGCTTTCCTCTTATCTCCTGCTTTGCTGGGGAGATCTGTATGGCAGTAGTGCTGGTAGTCATAGTTTCAGAAGTACTTAGAAAAAAAAAAAAAAAGCTCATGCTTGTTATTATCACTTAAAAAAAGTCTTCCTATCCCTGATGGAGAACTCAGGTGGTAAGATATATAAAATCAGCATTATTAACACACCTCTAGTATAATCTGGTATAAGATGCTTTTTATTTTGGGAAGATAACCAATTTTAAGGGTAAGCAAAACTCAAAGAAAAAAAGATCTGCTGATTTTTAAAAAAAATTTAGTCCATGGAGATTACTGAGATAACAAGCACATACATTTTTTAAAAGCCAGTAAGGACTGGCTAGTGGTTACTAAAAACAAGAGGTAGGAGCCAAATATGATACACCCCATCCCTGTGGTTAGGAATGATCTCTAAACAGATCAACTAGGAATTTCTTGAAATGATTAAAAAAGAAAAGAAACTTCAGTATTGGGTTAAATTATAAGGCCCCAATACTAAGGAAAGCAGGGTTTTCCAGGGTTCACCCCAAAAAATCAGTCATACATGAAAACTTATTTAATTCTTAAAGGGTCAAAAAGAAGGCTAAGAATGATTGTAATTATTTACTGCCTACAAAGGTAACAACTGAAGCCAAGCAACCTCCCTACTAGATGGCTGAAAGTTTCCAAGTAGAGAGACTGCCTTTGTAATCTCCCCCACTGCCAACCTCTCAAAATAAAATGAAAAGTAAAAGAAAAAAATCAAATAGGGACTTTCGAAAGTCAGGTTCAGTTGGCAAAGAGCTCTGACATTTCAGTTCTGCCTGGACTGGAAGGCAAAGCGATCTAGTCCATGCCTGACAGGGTGGGTTCAAGGTGGGGAGCAGCAGGAGCTGGAATGTGTAGGAGGCCAGCACACTGGGCCAGGGCTGGGAACTGCTCAGCTAGAGAACGGACAGGTTTACTTGCCTGTTTGAATAATTTCATCTCCATTTATGACCTGTAATTTAACACAGCGGAGATATCACTTGCAACAGTAACTAGGCAGAGGCTTTGCTTCTCCTGGGAGGAAGCCCTTCTCTGTTCTCCATCCCACTCACATGGAGAAATCCTGGGAGTCACAGTGTCTCTCACGCTTGGGGGTTAAAGGCGGTATATTCCCTGGATCAGACCATGGATCCTTAGTACCATCATTAGGATCCCCTGTCCAAGCTACAAGGTCCAGAACAGGTGATCCTGCCACTCACCAAATGGAGTGCTCATCCTTACGCAGTTCCAGTTAGAAAGCGGCTGACGCAGGCCTGTGCCCTGTAGCATGAACTGACTCAAGGAGAGAGAGAGGTTGAATACAGGGACAAGCTTTTCCTGTGAGAGCACAGGGCTGCTGAGAGAGATGAAAACCGGTTCAACAGGCACCTGGCTGACAGTGTTGTGAGAAGTGTTGAGGCCTGTGCCCTGTAGCATGAACTGACTCAAGGAGAGAGAGAGGTTGAATACAGGGACAAGCCTTTCCTGTGAGAGCACAGGGCTGCTGAGAGAGATGAAAACCGGTTCAACAGGCACCTGGCTGACAGTGTTGTGAGAAGTGTTGGGTTCAACTCTAGCATAAGGAAAGCAACTGTATTCATTCAGAAATATTATTTGCTACCAGTAGCACCAAAGCACATGTCAGGATGTATGGTTACATCTCTGGGAAGCTTTCACTCCCAAACATGTCTTCCTTCTATTTAATGATGCCAGAAGGGCTGCTCTGCTCTATCAAACCCTTAAGAGGTAAGATTTATCCTTACAAAAGAAAGGATCTAATATAAAAAGTCATTCATTACAAAGGATGCCAAAGGATGTTCAAAATCTTTTGCTATAATAAGATCTTAATGTATTAGTAAGCTAACAGCTGGAGTTGAGAAACCTTTCTTTTAAGGACTCTATCATTTTATTTAGACTATCTTTAGTGTTTATGACTTGTGCTATGCCTGGTGCAATGGTTTTCAAAATGTCGTCTAGTGGATTCTCGAAGTACTCTTTAGCGGGTGTCTGTAAGAATAATTTATTATACAGTAATGCCCACATTTAGGTAGATAATTTATTATGTTTAACCAAACCCAGCATGATGTGACCTATTAGTTGAGAGTGGTCCTTGTTGTTGAGTGGTCAGTAGGAGCAGCTGGATATTGATCTAAGGAAAGTCGCTTTGGTTCCATCAAAATAGTCCAGGGAACCAAACCATGTGAAAATCGCTGCCTTGACGTATGGACTCAAAACGTTAACTAGTTTAGCCAGACTGCAAGTCTGATACTGGCTGTAGCTTTGAGGATAACATTTCTCCCATTCCTGCACAGTGATACTCTCCTGGTTAGCTGAGAGAAGGTCCTTGCTTTCCAGAGCTTTTGAGCCCTGATACATCAGATTCCCTCTCTGGCTTTCATCTTCTATGACTATGATTTCTGCTTCATATCCAGTCAGTCATCTTGCCCTAGATGTCAAAATAGGGGCGGGGTGGGGTAGAAATCTTCAGGAGCTAATGATGAGGCTGTCTTGTCAGCACAGAGCCATGACTGTGACACACTCAAGCTCCCTCTACTTAAGACTGATAGTCTTAGATCAGCTGAAATTATTAACAAGGTCTGTCTTATCTTATTTAGTACTAAAATTTCTCCTGGTGTGATTATTAATAGAACTCTCCCTGCTTTATATTGCTATATTGAAATTCCAAAAGTGAAAACTTAACACTAGATTTCCAGACTAAATCGCTTTCTTTATCCAGGTTTGTTTCTCCTAAGCCTCTGGGATGAATTTTTTTTTTTTTTTTTTTTTTTTGACCGGTAAGGGGATCGCAACCCTCGGGCACGGTGTTGCCTGCACCACGCTCAGCCAGTGAGCACACCAGCCATCCCTATATAGGATCCAAACCCAAGGCCTCGGCGCTACCAGCGCCGCACTCTCCTGAGTGAGCCACGGGGCCAGCCCTCTGGGATGAATTTTTATAGTATGTATAGCAAGATGGCTTTGTCTCTACCGTCCTTCCCTCACCCACCTTGAGGATACCTAGAAAGGTTTTTTAAAAAGGACTACGTAAGATAATTACAACAGACCTTTCTTTTGGTTCTTAGCAGGTCTAAATGTCCAGAAACTACAGAGTTCAAGAATCCAAAATATTTGGGGGAGCTATTCTGATAAGAGAGCATCACAACCCACACCCAACCTCCATGTCTAGTGTGTTTGAAGGAGTATGAGGCCCATGAAGCATTCTTCCCATGGCTATGCTTCCAGCTTCAATCCCAATTCCTTTGAAAAATAAACCCCATCCCACATTGACCCTGTAAGGAAACTAGACTGTTAAGAGCATGTTTAAGGATACTGGGGGCTCTAACATATACGGACTGCTGGCTGATACGTAGAGAAGAGAGCAGAACATCTATGCATAAAGTCCTTAGTCTCATTTTTATTTCATGGCTTAGGGGTGAGAAATGCAAACCTGGCTGGGTTGTCTTCAGGGAGGTGCTACAAAACTGCACCTGCATTTTATTATTTGTTTCACTCTGAGAAATACAAATATATTTTTTGCATTGATAAAATGAAAAGGAGTTAGAAACATTTCCTGCTTCCTGTGATAATTGATGTGTCCCTGTGAGGTGCTCCTGGCAGCCACCATCCCATTGGTGTCACAGGTGTAAGCTATGGTGAGTGGAGGCATAGGTTCTGATTTCATCTGCTTTTCCTTTTTTTATGTTTTATCAAAAGAGGCTCTCTAAGCACAGTACCAACAAAGAAGGGCAGCCAAGCACATTCCAAGCAGCAATTCCAAACCCTGAATCAAAAGATTAACGAGAAAAGGTACATTTTACCACCTTATCTTTCCCCTACAATTCTATTACTGCCTGGGGCTAGAGGTTGATGGCAGTGGACGTGACTGACAAGACCGTCAACAGCACAGCCAAGCAATGGTCAGTGGAGGTCACAAGCCAGACACATGCAGTGCACTTTTCTCCATCATCCCCTTGGAGAATGCCCTCCTTTACATAAGGAAAGAAGCAAACTCCATCATGCACTAAGTAGAGATTTGTCAAGCAACTGCACTAAGCACACTATTACTTTGCTGGGTTAACAGACTTGTCACCAGTGAAAGAAAAAAAAAGTAATGGAGGTCACACAGAAACTCATTTAATTTTCAAAAGGTAATGTCGAGAACGTTTCAATGACCCATTTTCCAGTACCTGCCTTGGCATTTGCAAGGGTGGGAAGTCAGGAAATAACAGTTATTGTGAACAAGTGCCTTCTACTAGATTCAGAGCCTGCTTACCTGTGCGTCGATTATTTTCTGCTTTGCATCAATAACTGCTTGCATCTCAGCATGATCCTTCTTCAATTCCTCTTCTACAGCCATTAGCCTAGAATGTAGCAGGAAGGAAATGTCAATATTTTCAAAGAGAGGGCTAGGTAATGTAGAGAACAAGAAACTCAAAACTCATTATAGTTCAATATTTCCAGTCCTTCCTAATAAAAGGCCTGCAAACATCTTTCTTCTCTCCCACCTTGGAAGAAGACATGCAAGGTTGATTTCTCTGTGACCAGATCCCATGCAGTTTCATCTCCTTTGAAACAGTATTACCATAATCATTTTCTCCCTCTCCTCTATCAGATCCTTCCCTCAGCACAACTTATTTCACCTTAGAGTATCAAACCAACCAACAAAAAAACAACCCTTTCTTAATGTCGAGTTAACCTGTAACCACTGTCCTACCTTTCTTTCCTTGCACAGCTAAGTATCCTCAAGGAGTACTTTATACTTGGTAGGTCTAGTTTCTTTCTCATCCATCATTCATATCTTTACCCACTGATATTTAACTCTGTAGCTATATTTAAATGACTTTCAGTAAGACTGCCAATTACGTCCATATTATCAAAACAAAAAACCTTTTTTGTCCTCCATTTATTTGACCTGTCCATAGCACTTGACAATATTGAAGCATGTGGTAATGAGCATGGACTCTGGAGCCTGACTGTCTGGGTTCAAATCTTGCTGCACCATTAACTATGTGACCTTGGGCAAGAGACTTAATGAATCTGCTGTCTGTTTATTTGTAAAACGAGAATAATAATAATGCCTATCTCAGAGGTTGTGAGAAAGGATAAACAAAGTATTATTTGTAAAGCGCTTAGAAAAGTGCCTGACCCACAGTAAGTACTATGTAAGTACTTGGTAAAACTGAACACTCCTTATTTTCCCTTGGCATCTGTGACACTCTCTCTCTGTCCTCTGGCCATAAAGATATTCAGTGAAACTCCTTTCCATGTTTCTGGACTTGTTTTGAAAAACTAAGTTAGGCTTGGACATTGGAAATTTAGATTTTTTAAACCTAGTCCTTCTCTAAGACTTCTCAAGTGAGCCACTAAGTTTTTACTATTTTTCTCATTGTTATGGTTAAAGGAAAACAGCCTACCTTTATTTTCAAAGGAAGTGCCCTAGGTCTCATATTAGGATATTTGAAGAGATATAGTCAATCACCACATTTGTACTGAGTACCACAGAGTATCCACAGGGTTGAAAATGGCTTTTGTTGCCATTCCTTTAAGACTCTTTGCATCACCTCCCCACCTCTTTGTACCCCCATCTAGCCCACGCCTGCCACCAGGTGGTCCTCTAACCTGCTGATGATGCTTTTCATCTGGCAGTCTTTCTCTTCCTGCTGTCTGCGGAGCCGCTCCTCGCTGTCCTCCAGCCGGGCCTTGTATTCCAGCAGCAGCTTCTGCATCTGCTGCTCCTGCACCAGCAACCGGCGTTCATACTCCTCCAGCCGCCGGCTGGACACTCTCAGGCGCTCCTTCAGTTTAGTAATTTCTTGTTCATACTAGAGCAGAGGAGAAAAGGCACCAAAGACAAGGAGAGAAAATCTAGAGTTACGATGGTTTTAGGAATTAGCGATTTACTTTTTAACAATGAAACTCTAGGCACTGTAGCTAGATAATGCCTGAGCTGCCATTCCCTATGCTGCTGCTAGTGTTCTTTAAAATTATCAGCTGGCACAAATGTTAATGGAGCTTTGCCCTCCAAAATTACATTTTAAACCTTAACTTTGCATTCCAAATTCTACATATTTATGTACCTTTCTCCACATTAAACTACCAATTGCTGCAAGCCATATCCAATCTGTGATGGTATCAAATAGGAGGGGGAAAAAAGATTAAAACTGTGAAGCCTGACAGGTCACTTAAACCAAAAGCCCTCTTGTCTATAAGAGAGAAGATTTCTGTATCATCATCTGTACTGTAGATCTCTGACATATCTTGGCTCATCAGAGTGTCATTCCTTCGCTTTACTAGAACCAGTCCTTTGGAGCACAAGCAACGTTTTTATAATGTTAAGCCACTAAATCAATACATAGAATTTTATGGCAGGGTGGGCTATTGCTGCTTTTTTCCTAACTATAAAAGTGTAAACTATTCAGGTCACAAGCACTAAGCAAAGGCCTACATGTTCTCTAGGGTTTATTAATATTGCCTCTTGGCCCATTTTCATGATGTGCCATTTTCATCTGCCGAATGGGGTACCGCTTGCTGGAACATATATGCCTGTGTGCTACTAAGAAGCTTGATATAAATTCAGTAATTCAATTGGTTACATGGCCCTTTCTTATAGCAAAGTTGTGGTTGCAGTTTTAGTATACTAGAATGCCAAATTTCCAGGTGATTGAAAAGTATAAACTTTCTTATGGATGGTCTACTTACATTCATTAGTAATCAATGATAAATCTGTATAGTGCTTTGTAAAATGCAGTTTATTTACACACAATATTATCTCATGTAACAACCAGTCAACTAGCTACTACTTACCCAACATGGTTCTAAACTACACTTGTTAATCCAGAAGGTCAAGGGTGAGAGTTTTAATGCCAGTTCTGAAGAGGTAGACTGCATTAATAAACATAGTTTAGGATCATGCTGATAAGTAAGAAGACACTAATTGTCTGGTTGCCAATTAAATGTGATAGTGCTATATATGATATCAAGGTTCTTGTTTGATAATCCTTTTTATCTCATGTCAACTTTTCTTTAAAAAGCCAAATGCCAAGCAATAGATAATATCCTTTTAAGAATTATCTATAGAGCTAGACATTCTTTAACCAGAAAAGGCAAAAAACCAAAAACAAAACCCCAAAACTGAAACCATATTGTTATCATGATAAAGAAAGGATGTCTAGTCCTAAGGTAATTTTGGCCTTGGTTAAAGACTAACAACCAGTTTACAGAAACACTAAATATTCAACTAAAATGACTAGAAATGAACAGAGTGTCCTTTACAGAATCTACAAAAAAAAAATTATAGCTAAACTACCCCCCCAGCATGACGAACATTTTCCATATATGTAGACATACTTGTACCACTGACCTATATTATCCACAGATATGTATATGATGATATTCAACTAAAATGACTAGAAATGAACAGAGTGTCCTTTACAGAATCTACAAAAAAAAAAATTATAGCTAAACTACCCCCCCAGCATGACGAACATTTTCCATATATGTAGACATACATGTACCACTGACCTATATTATCCACAGATATGTATATGATAAGAGGAATAGGGTGGATCATGTTCTTGGCTAGACAAGAGTGGCCTATTGCTAGTGGAGGCAATAAGCTAATAAGACAAATTAGGTTCTACCTTTTCAGCATGCTTGGCTTCATCTTGATTTTGCTCAGTTTCTTCCACATCCTCTTCATATTGCCCATTGTTCAGTACCCAGGCTGCTGTCCTCTCTACTGGAGACATTGTGGCAGAGTCCACAGGTGACTGAACCTGCATCAGAAATAGTTATTAGTATGTCCCACTTATGTTTTACAAAAAGAGCTATTCTTAGAAGACATAACTGTGATCCCCCCGTTTTCTAATAAGTGTTCTCAGCTTTAAGTAACATTTTATTAATGCCAAAGCTAGGGGTGGGGAAAGAGAATACACATTTGTATAAGAACGAGCTATTCTGAATAGAAATTTGTATGTATCACATCCAAGAACAGTCCTTTTTCTCCCTCTAAAGAAAGCCAAGGCCTTAAAATTGTTAATTTGTGCAGTGCTCCAAACTCTGTTAGGTACCAAATTATGAACTGATAGAATGGGATAAAGGAAGCATAACTTGACGGTTAGTTGCTCAGGTTAGGAAACATCTGTTTAAACCAGAGATGATCAGGAACCAAAGAACTGGTTAATGTTAAACAAGCTCACAAGTTGCCCATTTACATATCAGAATGCTAAATACTTAGTTTTCATATTAACCATTTAGAGAAAGAGAATGACAAGTGATATTGGTTGTCTTTACAGAACACTGACTTCTTCATGGGTTAAGACCACTCAGGAGTCCATATTTTTAGACCAGAAAGTTTCTTGATGAATACAGAATCAAAACAATGGATACTGGATAGCATACCCAGTTAGGATAGCTAGATAAATTGTCCTTTTCCAATATAGGTATATCAAGTGTTAAGAATACTGGTCTTGAGTAGCAACTCTGCCACTAAGTAGTTAAATCACTTAATCTCTTAAACACTATTTTCCTAATCTATTCAATAGGGATACCACCACCATCATCATTACCACCTATCCTGATTGACAGTTCTTTGGAAACCTCAGAGTGCTACAAAGAGGACAGATGTTACAGTTTATATTAGGCTACTGAACATTAGTGCTTTCTCCACAAACAAGGCTTCAAAATTATTTTTTGTTCTAATATGTTCTTCATATAAAAAAACTATATACTATCTTTTATATTTTTTCTTTTGGTCTTATGTATGCTGGCCTTATTTCCCAAAGAGATTGTCAATTTAATGGCACCATATCATACAGTTCTTTTGAATGGTAATGACTAGTTAAATGCATAATAGATGCTCAATAAAATATTATTCACTTATTACTCTGGATTCTCTTTGGAATTCATCACTAAAGTATAATTTAATATTAAAAGAAGGATACTCTAAGTTTTTCCTCTAATCCTTTAGAAGAATATCAAAGGCTTTCCATCAATGATTGTTCCATCTCTTTTATAAGTTGGATAGGTAGCAAAAATTATTATCTCTAGTTTATAGTCAAAGAATTGAGGAAAGAGGTTGGTAAGTTGTTCAGATCCCATCTTGCTTAGTTAGAGATAGCCTCAAGAAGAGAATTTATATCCACTGACTTTCAACAAATTCATCAAAGAAAATGAAAAAGACAGAAAAAAAGCAGGAATTCCCATTGGAAATATCTCCATTTTGAGATAAAGCTGTATAGGGTTTCCTTGGAAAAAATAATGCTTTAGGGTAAAAGGGCCCGACACAGCAGTTTCACTGATACTACAATTAGTCATAGCCTGGCTATTCTGAGGACAACTGAGAACAGGCCAGTTCCCTTTCCTTGCTAGTACGTACTAGATATAAACAAGACTTGTTAGTTTCAGTTTTTTCATGTCTGAAATAGTCAAGTTCTCATAAATGAATAATACTTCTATCAACACTAAAGAAAGAGCTCACGAAATTAATAACTAAACTCTGAGAGTCATTGAAGAGGCTGGTTAGGAGAGGATTCAACAAATCCAAACGTGAAAACTGCAGCATCAGACCGACAGTCTAGTAAAATACTTATTTTAAATGGCCTCTTCAAATTTGAATTTCTAAGTTAGAGAATATGCTAAATCTGAACAACTTATATGTTGTAAATAAATAAAGCCTATTATTTGTACAGAGTACACGATACATGAAAAACAAAATAGAGAGGAAAATGTGAAAAAAGAAATCCAAATATAGGATATGGTATCGCCTATAACAGGAAAATAACTATACACATCAAAAGTTATTATGAGAAACAAATGAGATTGCATGTAAAAGCACTTTGTAGACTGCACGGTACTTTACACACAGAAACACACACACTAAAATTCTCCCCCTACTGGATTTTAAAAAACAGAGCACAATACAATAAATTGCTGTAGTACTGGTAAAGAAAAATAGAAACAAGGGGTTTAGACTTTCATTTGATATATGTGTATCTGGAAGCCTATAATGAATATAGCATTGAGTCTTAAAAAATTGATAGAAAGTCAATATTTAAAGAAGACAAATGCCTTTTTAGTTTTATAATCATCACTTTAGCACGCAGGGAATGGGAAAGCTGCTTTATTGTAAAACCAGGATTTTCTATTCAATAGCAATTTGAGATAAAGGAGCTAATAAAACTAATAACAACTTTACTATGTGTAATTTATTACTTCAAGGCAGCTAATTCAATAGCTCTCTGGTTTATATAGTTAGCAAGACACGGCTTGAATGAACTTTCTTTCCCTGTGATTTGTTATGGGTAACTATTTATGTAGTACCTGTAAATGCACTGCAAACTAATGGTATTCCTAAGAACACACCAAAGGATAGATCTTAGCCCCAAAAAGCATATTAAAAACACCACCACCACCACCACCACCACCACCGATTTATGTAGTACCTGTAAATGCACTGCAAACTAATGGTATTCCTAAGAACACACCAAAGGAGAGATCTTAGCCCCAAAAAGCATATTAAAAACAACACCACCACCACCACCACCACCACCACCATTTTATGGTAATCTAAGCTTTAACAGTCAAGTGAGAAGCCGTAAAAACAATGGGTGGTTCATTCCACTGGTGATGGTGATAGCTACAGCATCTTCAGAAGGACTAACATAATGTCCAATGAATCACGAAAAATTGTACAGTGGAAACTGGGCATTCCAGGTCTATTCCTATTCTGTTGGTTGAATTTTATTTTCAGCCACTTCCTAATGTATCCTAGCACTTTCCCTGGCATACAGTAGGTGGTCAAAATAACTTAACAAATAAAATTGATAAAATAAATCAGACCAATCCTAACTATTACTTCTATTCATGACAAAGCCTTTACAAAATTATAGAGAGACAGAAAGTATTATTGAATAAATAAAAAATAGTTATTGTGCTAGATTGGAAGAAAATAGAGGTGATTTTTGTTTCAAAATTATTTTTTGTTCTAATATGTTCTTCATATAAAAAAACTATATACTATCTTTTATATTTTTTCTTTTGGTCTTATGTATGCTGGCCTTATTTCCCAAAGAGATTGTCAATTTAATGGCACCATATCATACAGTTCTTTTGAATGGTAATGACTAGTTAAATGCATAATAGATGCTCAATAAAATATTATTCACTTATTACTCTGGATTCTCTTTGGAATTCATCACTAAAGTATAATTTAATATTAAAAGAAGGATACTCTAAGTTTTTCCTCTAATCCTTTAGAAGAATATCAAAGGCTTTCCATCAATGATTGTTCCATCTCTTTTATAAGTTGGATAGGTAGCAAAAATTATTATCTCTAGTTTATAGTCAAAGAATTGAGGAAAGAGGTTGGTAAGTTGTTCAGATCCCATCTTGCTTAGTTAGAGATAGCCTCAAGAAGAGAATTTATATCCACTGACTTTCAACAAATTCATCAAAGAAAATGAAAAAGACAGAAAAAAAGCAGGAATTCCCATTGGAAATATCTCCATTTTGAGATAAAGCTGTATAGGGTTTCCTTGGAAAAAATAATGCTTTAGGGTAAAAGGGCCCGACACAGCAGTTTCACTGATACTACAATTAGTCATAGCCTGGCTATTCTGAGGACAACTGAGAACAGGCCAGTTCCCTTTCCTTGCTAGTACGTACTAGATATAAACAAGACTTGTTAGTTTCAGTTTTTTCATGTCTGAAATAGTCAAGTTCTCATAAATGAATAATACTTCTATCAACACTAAAGAAAGAGCTCACGAAATTAATAACTAAACTCTGAGAGTCATTGAAGAGGCTGGTTAGGAGAGGATTCAACAAATCCAAACGTGAAAACTGCAGCATCAGACCGACAGTCTAGTCAAATACTTATTTTAAATGGCCTCTTCAAATTTGAATTTCTAAGTTAGAGAATATGCTAAATCTGAACAACTTATATGTTGTAAATAAATAAAGCCTATTATTTGTACAGAGTACACGATACATGAAAAACAAAATAGAGAGGAAAATGTGAAAAAAGAAATCCAAATAGAGGCTGAAAAAGATAAAAAATAATAATAATAGACAGTTTCCTGAAAAAAAAATTCTTTCTCTGTAAATTGTTTCACTAGAATTTTATTTCCTTCCTACTCACTAGATGGAGAAGACTGAAGCTGGTTATGCTGCCAACAATGGCCATTCCTTTGTGTTAAGATACAAGTGGAATTTGCATGGGACAAAGCCACTGATAATTACAGACGCCTACAGAACAATCTCCACAAAAAAATCCTCCAGTGTTTGAGAGAGAAGAATTCCCCAGCACAATTTGCAATTAAAATATGTAGAGGAATTTGCCTGAAAAATGTGCTGATTATATAGAACTTCAGAGGCTTCATAGGAGTGAGATGAGAAAAGCAAACAAGAAATGGAAAGATAAGGAATAAAAACACTAAAGACATAAGTTCAAAAGAATGAATCATCTGGGTAGAAAAAGCTAGTGTAGAAAACCCAGAAACTTGAGCAATCAAAATACAGTGATTTATATGTCAACTGATATTGTGGTGGCAGTACCAGCAAAGGCATAAACAAAGATGAATATTCAAAGCTGTGCTAGGACATCTCACTGTGGCTGTGCCCAACTTCATGCCAATATAATATAGACATTCCCTGACTCATTAATGGTTGTGGCAGAAAAATTGATTTTAAAATTGGTTTGGAGACTGTATGCATTTCCTGCCTCCCATCCATCCAGGCAGGCTTCTATTCACAACCCTCGGAAACACGTATTGTGTGCTTATGTGATAGATGTTATATTTTCCTGTAGAGATGTTATAAATGACAACTGATGCCAGATGAGTACACAAAAGGATATTTAATTTATAATATTTATAAACATCAGCCTGAGTCATGAGCCCTGGGAATTGAGGCCTACATGATACAGAAGGAATGGGTATGTAAAAGAAAAAGAGTTTAAGTTTTTCTTTTCTGTTCAGGGCTGAACCTAAATAAACTTATAAAAGGAAGTGGAGGGCTCTTTCCCCTGTCCTGTCCCTCTCTGTCAATCGGATTCTCTTCTCTACTTCCTATCTCATCCTCGGTACCCTCGTGCTGCTCTAAGCCCCCAAGTACATGTTTACTTTCGCCCAGTGTTCCATCTCTAAAACTACTTATCTTTCCTTTCTCTTCCCAATAAATAATTCTCGGAAATTAGCTGATCTCCATTAGAGGCTCGCACAAAAGCAATGCGAGAAGACTAATTCACAATAAGGTGTAAATGACCGATAGCTTCTTAACACACATTTTATACATATATATACATTTATATATAAAAAATATACTTGTATATAATATACATTGTATATATATTTCCTTTTCTTTAAATGAAAATGCTTATTAAATCAAGTGAACAGGTGAAATTTTGGAAAATATAACAAAACAGCAATGAAAAATATAAGACTGAAGAAAACATTATTTCTCAGGAAAGAATGGCCAACTAGGAGGTTCTGCCCAGAATCAGCTTAAGCTAGTCATGTTTTTCAGCCCTTCCTATACTTCTGTACCCAAGGATTCTGTAAATGTTCCTTTAAAAAAAAAAAAACTATAAAAATAGGGGCAAGGAGCTCTGATCATAGCAGACTGGAGGCAGAAGCAGCCAAATCAGTAAGTACCTACTGGTAAAAATGCAAATATATTAAAGAGATACACTAGGATTTTATTGCAGTCTCCCTGCCCAGTTATTTTGCTGCATAAAAGGATTTGTCACAGAACTCTTTTAATCACGAGCTC